AATTATTTACTCTGTCACTTACCAGGACTAGCTCTCCCAAGTAGGATATGGTGCACACTTACAATCCTTGCTGCTTAGGCAGCTGAGGCTGAGGAAGGATTAGAAGTTTTCCAGGCCAGCCTGGGAAATTTGGTAAGACTGTCTCAAAAATAAAAGGGGTGGAGTTGTAGCTCAGTGATAGTGTTTGGCTGCTGGTTGAATCCTCAGTACCAGGAAAAAAAAGACTAATACTTAAAGCAAAATGACGGTAATTATCCACAATTCTTTGAGTTGCCCGAGTTTTTTGCTCTGCGTACTATGAGGTCAGATAGTGTGGCTGCATTTAGTTAGGAGCTTGGCTAAAGTGTCTGAATAGCTCTTCTCAACCCTCTAGGGTTTCTCTCCATATGGTCACTCATCATTTAGTAGTGGATCCACTTCTGTGCAGCATAGCATCAGGCTTCGGAGAGAGGGCAGGTGGGGACTGCCAGCTATTTTATGGTTTTCAAGTCCAAGAATGCCTCTTTTATCACGTTGTTTCAGAAAATAGAAAACTGGGGCTGGGGATTTAGCTCAGCGGCATAAGTGCCTGCCCGGCAAGTGGAAGGTCATCAGTTCAATCCCTGGGACCGCAAAAAAAATAAAAAGACAAAAAAGAAAAAAGAAAACTGTAAAGCTACTCCAGACTCGGAAGGAAGGAAAAACATACTCCTCCTCTTGATAGAAGAAATATCAAATAATTTATGATTATCTGTGACTCAAATGTATGATAAGCTTTAAGTTTGACTAGTTGATATGTGTTGTACACTAGAAACTCCTGCTTATGTGCCTGGAAGATGGGTATAGCAATATTTATAGCAGTGTCATACATAACAGAACACACATCTGGAAACCATCCCCAAATTCATACATGTAGAATATAGCATGTTCATAGGTGAAATCTCATATAATATAATAATAAAAATAAAATAAGTATACTTACTTGAACCAACAGAGTTGTTTGAAAAGAAGCAAATCCTAGAATAATGTGTACTGAATGATCATATATATAAAGCTCAAAATTAGGCAAAACTAAAATGAGACCCATTAACCTGTATAATTAGAATGCAGTAATAAAAAAGATATAAAACAAATAAAAAAAACTCTACAACAAATCCAGAACAAACAGAAAAAGGCAGAGGTTGGTTGGGCTTTTCAGAGAAGACAACTCTAAAGACCTATAAAAGGCCATTGTTCAGGCCTGGGGATTTAGCTCAGCAGGCATAAGTGCCTGCCTTGCAAGCAGGCAGTTGTGAGTTTGATCCCCGGTACTGATAAAAGGAAAAAAGACCCAAAAGAAAAAAAAAGGCCATTATTCTAGTTAAATGTGAACTGTCTAAGAGCTTTCTAAATTGGATTTGTAATAATCCAATGGTATATGCATATCCCTTAGGCCACAGTGTGTAGAACTAAGCATTTAGGGATGTGACGTATATTAATAATTACATAGAACATTTCCATTGTGATCCACAAAATGTCAAAGTAATTTCCCTTTTAGAATTCTTCCAGGGAGTTATAAATCCTGATGAAATTAATGCCTGATCTTTTGAACTGTTTCTGCTATATTTCATGGACTGATTTGTAGACCAGCAACTAGAACTCCATACACTTGAGAATTTATTTCTCTTCAGAGCTTAACAGCTTTCTATTTTTAGCAAAATTACCTTATATTTATGTCAGCCCAATAATATCAATTTTGTCTTGTTCAGAATTATCAGATAAGGGGAAGAAGATATTAAAAAGTTAGGTAAAACCTAAACAATATACTGTTTAGAACATGGCTATAGCATTCTTCTATAAAGGGCCATGTAGTAAATATTTGGCTCTGTGAGCCAAGAAGCAAAATTGGAGATACAAGTACTTATATAAGAAGAGAGGAAAACCAGTGCCCATAATTCTGTGTTGTTGATATTCAAAATAATAGGCTACTAGCTGGCTATGGCAGCACATGCCTGTAATCTTAGCGCTCCAGAAGCTGAGGCAGAAGGATTGTTCTGAGTTCAAGACCAACCTGGACTACAAAGAGAGCTCAAGGCCATCCTGAACTGCATAGCAAGACTCTGTCTCAAAAAGATCGAAAGAAAAAAATTAATAGGATACTTTTTGTAATACAAGGTCTACTTGAACTGAGAAGAATGGAAATCTATTTTGGAGGTAAAGGAATTGTGTAATAGTTTCCTAGGCTGCTGTAACAAACTACTGTACTGCAAACTGAGCATCCTATAACAGATTTATTCTCTTCCATAGTTCTGGAAACTAGAAATCTGAAGTTAGATTTTCAGAAGGTCTGTGCTTCTTCTGAAATCCTGGGCAGGGTCAGACTTGGCATCCAGGCCCTAGTTTGCTGACCTTAGTTTAGGCATAAAAACACAAGTATTAGTAATAATATAAAACAAGGGAATAAACAGTGCTGTTTAAGTTAGTTTTTACTTTGTGGACTGGAAGCAGGAGGGTGTATAGAGCTGGAGAGGAAAAGGTGAATGACTTCTGGAGTAGTGGTTTCCTGGCCTCACTGCTCATTTTGATTTTGTTTCGTAAGCTTTATTGTTTACACATTCATTTTACATGCTTTTTGTAAGTTTGCTATTTCACCGTAAATAGTCCCTACCTCTCTGTCCCTTCCCCCATCTTAATTTTTCTTTCTTCTTCCCAAAGTGGTTATTATTCCTTGTTTTAAAACTGCTTCTCCCTTTGCTTCTGATATCCTGCCTCAGGAGTATAATCCTCCAGGTCTTGCCAAGAGCCTTCTGTTCTTTTGTTAGCAAAGTTGACTGTTGATTGCTTTTTTTCTCTTTGTTGTTGTCATTTTCTCATCCTTCTCCTTAAGCAAATATAAATATATAAAAATATTTGCCCTTGGAAAGTGAACACAAAAGTGTGCTCCCCTCCCTGATTTCCTTCTCACTTAACAGCTAAGCAGACAGTTTGAAGTTAAGATGAATATAAAGGATGAAGTGGTTACAGGGTATTGCACGAGTTTCCTGTGTATTTGAGTCAAAGAATATGTCTGATCAACCCTCAGATCTTTGTTGAGCCTTCTAGGTTTGTGGGTTAACGACTTTACTGAGATACCATTTATACACCAACCAATTCACTTACTGAAAACAGACAATGTTATATTGGCTTTTAATATATTCACTGAAAGGTTTGGCCCAGACAGGACACTGTAGCCAGGAAAGCCACAACCGGAAGCAGGAAGCCCCATCTTGCCCTGCCCCTAGGAAGTTACCTGTGATGCCATCTTCCCGCCCCTGGGAATTTACATATGGCGCCAAACCTAGGACCAATGGGCTACCTGTGTATCCCTAATGCCCGCCTTAGGTTCCACCCCAAACCGAGGCTATTTACAGGCCCCCACGCCACGTGTCCGGGGGAGAGATTGCCGGACGCCAGCGGTGGGGTTGCCGGTCATCTCTCTCCGTGTTCTCAGAATAAAGGCCGCTTTTTATTTTATATTTCTCATCTTTTGTTAATATTTTTCATCTTTTGGAAATAACTCTATCATTCACCAAGCTGGGCATGGTAGTACACACCTATAATCCCAGCATTTTGGGAGGCGGAGGCAAGAGGATCACCTTGGCCAGCCTGGGCTACATAGTAAGTTTGAGATGAGACCCTGTCTAAAAAAAGAAAAAAAAAATCACTAAAATTGTTACCACTGTTACCACTGTGTGTGTGTGGAGGGGGGCAGTATTGGGGATTGAATCTAGGATCTCACACGTGATGGGCAAAAGCTCTACCACTGAGCCACATTCCTAGTCTATTTTATTTTATTTTTATTGGTGGGGATTCAGGGTCTCTCTTAAAGTGCCTAGGCTGGCCTTGAACTTGTGGTACTCTTGTCTTAGCCTTCTTTGTAGTTGGGATTACAGTCATGCACTACTGTGTCTAGCCACAACCAACTTTAAAACATTTTCAACATTGCAGAAAGAAGCCCCCACCCCTCAGCTGCTGACTCCCATCGCCTCCCATTCCCAGCTCTAGGCAACTACTGATCATGTGGCTCTGTAACATGTGGTTCTTTGTGGCTGCTTTTTTTCATTTAGTGAGACATGTTTGGTTCATCCATGTTGTACCATGTATCTGGTTTTTTTCCTTGTACTGCTGAACAGTCTTCCAGTGTAAAAGTATACTGTGTTATGTTGACTTATTAGTTGATGGACACTTGGATTTCCATCCTTGCTACTGTGGGGTCATCTGTCTATCTGGGGTGTTTTTTTGTTTTGTTTTGTTTTTGTTTGTTTGTTTGTTTGTTTTTAGGCAGGATCTCCCTCTGTAGTTCAGGATAGCCTTGAACTTACAGTGATCCTCCTGCTTCAGCTTCCCAAGTAAGTGCTGAGGTTACAGACATGCACCGCCATATCTGGCTTGTGAGCATCTACTGAGCACTTACTTAATTTTTAAATGATTTGAATCTTACGTATTTATTGTAGAAAACTTGAAAAGTATTAAAGAATATGATAAATTCATACATAATTTTACCAAAGATTAAGCCTTGTTATTTGGTCTGGTGGTAATTCCAGTACTCTAGAAGGCAGCACTCAGAGGATCCAAGTTCAAAAAAAAAAAAAGTACTGAGGTTGTGGGTGCATGTGAAGGCCTTGGATTCAATCCCCAGTACCACCCAGCAGAAAAAATTTTTGCTTTGTTTTTAAGCAGATTTGATTTGCCAGAGCTCAAAAATATTGGCCAACTGGCGCTGGGGATTTAGCTCAGTGGCATAAGCGCCTGCTTTGCAAGTGTGTGGTCGTGAGTTCAATCCCTGGTACCAATAAAAAAGAAAAAGACAAAAAAATACTGGCCAACTGCAATTGTCATGAATAATTTATAAGTCCTTGTGTAGTAGGAAAGTAGTGATTATGTGTGGGGAAGAAAATCTCACAGAAGAGCAACCATGGATATTATGAAAGCGTGCATAATGTCCTGACACTGATGAGTAAAGGAAGCATTGAGGTCTCTAATACTTTTCTGCTCTGTTGTAGGAGACTAGCAGGATGTACGATTTTCATCACTGGTGCGAGCCGTGGCATTGGCAAAGCAATTGCACTGAAAGCTGCAAAGGATGGAGCAAATATTGTCATTGCTGCCAAGACAGCTCAGACACACCCCAAACTTGCAGGCACCATCTACACTGCTGCTGAAGAGAGTGAGTGTAACCATCTCCATTTCATAAAATGTCCTTACAGTGGCTTCGATACATAACTTGCTGAGAGTTGAATTTGGACTACCTGTGTTTCCGTGAAAATAAGACCTAACTACAGATCAAAATTGCTGTTCCTGATCAACCTATCCTTGCCTTCCTTGTCATTACTGAGTAGCCATTGACTAGAGAACAATGAGGTACAATTTTTTGCATGATCCTGGCCATCACCATAATAATGACCAGCTAATAATTACTGCTGAAGTTTATTTTCCAGTTTGGTCTTATTTGCACCAAAATGCTTATTTGAAAGCTACTATTAAAGAAGTATTCATCTTGTTTTAAAAAGTGTTCATTTTGTTACATAAGTGTAGGAGTTGCTTTTCTGACACTTTTAAGTGATAGGAGGGACACTAGTTGAAAGTGATGCTCAGGAGGGTGTTGCTTCTGGGGTAGGAGGGAGATGAGTGGAAGTGGAGAGGAGACAGTTTTGGGTGTGCATGAACGTTTTGGAAAAGCATATTTAATATACACACTTCACAAGTCATTATTTTAATATTTTCAATCGATGAGTAATTATTTTATATTTAAGGCATTACACTAGACCAGGAGAAAGGGCTTAAAATTTCAACAGGAAGGGCTGGGGATTTAGCTCAGTGGCATAAGCACCTGCCTGGCAAATGTGAGGTCATGAGTTCGATCCCCAGTACCAAAAAAAAAAAAAAAAAATCAACATTAGTTAATATTGCTAGCTTTATTAGTCATGTTAGTAACATTGTGGCTATATTAGAGAAATGTACATGAAATGTTTATGAGTGAAATGATGTTGAGGGTTATTTTAAAATGCAAACACAAAATACACAAAATACAAAAAATAAAATGCAAGGAGAAGATAAATCCCTAGAACTGTAACAGTTAGCTGGGTGCAGCAGTACACAGTTATAATCCTAGAACTCTGGCAGGCTGAGGCAGAAACACCAAAAGTTCAACTCCAGTTTGGGTAACTCAGTGACTAAGTGAGATTGTCTCCAAATAAACAGGACTGGGAGGTAGATCAGTGTGAAGGCCTTGGGCCCAATCTCTGGTACTACAACAAAATAAAACAAACAAAACCAAACCAGAAAGAGTCACCAAATATAGATTAGGGATCGTTTTTAAACTATTCTTTGTATTTTCATGTACTTTACAATTTTTTCTGTAATAAAACACTTTTAATTGTCTTTTTATAGCTTTTTTAATAGAATTTTTTTGCAGTACTCTGCTTTTTTATTTTTTGGTTTTTTGAGACAGGCTCTCACCATGTAGTTCAGACTGGCCTTGAACTCACTATGTAGCCTTGACTGTCTTTGAACTCATAGCTGTCCTCCTCCCTCAGCCTCCCAGGTGCTGAGATTATAGGCATGAGCCACCATGCCTGGCTCCACCCGCCCCCCTTTTTTAAAAAATAGAGTTGACATAACTAGTGGAAAGCTGTATGTAGCCAATCTGTCCTGTGTGTTGAAATCACTAGTAATTATAAGCCATTTATATTGATTTTCTGAAAATGCCTGTTATATCAGGATGGAAGGTATAATATCTGAATGCTTTAATGCTTTTTGTTTGTTTACCTTTTGTAGTTGAAGCAGCTGGAGGAAAAGCCTTGCCATGCATTGTGGATGTGCGAGATGAACAGCAAATCACCAGTGCAGTGCAGAAAGCAGTCGAGAAATTTGGAGGTAGCAGAAGTTCTGTCTCTGAACACATGGGACTTTTGGGGAGGACATCTTAGATGTGAACCATAACAATATGCAGGGGTATTTTGGTTGACAAATTTAATTCTTGCCATGATTTTAGTTTCAGAGAATTGTATAAAGAATTAAATTTGTAAAGTGAGGTGCCAGTGTACACAATATGTCTTTTCCTATACAAACATACTTGTGATAAAGTTCAATTTATAAATCAGACACAATAAAAGACTAACACTAATAACATATCATAAAATAGAGCAGTAATATTCAGTAGTGATATGTGACTTAGATGACTGTTGTCACTCCCTCTCTTTTTTAAAAAATTTTAAAATTTTATTTATTTATTTACTTTTTTTTTTGAGACAGGGTCTCACTATGCTGGCCTTGAGCTCACTTTGTAGCCCAGGCTGGTCTCGAGCTCCCAATGATCCTTCTGCCTCAGCCTCCCGAGTGCTGGGATTATAGGCATGAGCCACTATGCCTGGCTAAATGTATTGTATTTTAAAGAGGATAAAATCAAACAAAATAAAACAGAATAAAGCCAGTCAAGACAAAATGATGAAAGTGATTGATACAGGACCTCAAAACAGGATAATAGAAAATCAACAATGGCTACCGTAATATATCTTATTATCTTTGAAATAGCTGCCCATCTCTCTTGTAACCTGAAGTTGAAGGTAAATAACTGATGCCAGCATACATGTCTGACTTTCTTACTTTCTGGGTTTTTTTTTTTTTTTTTTTTTTTTTTGAGATTCAAGAAACAAGCAAGTTTTATTCAGCTAGCTGGGTGATGTGGTTAGAACTCTGTCATGACACACATCCATGTAGCCTGCGTTTCGTTTTCCACAGGTTCATTTATAGAAGATTCACTCTTACTATAGACCGTGGCAGGTTCAGCAGAACAGTATTTTTCTTTTCTTAGGCTGAAAACCTTTACGTTTTTACTTACAGGAAGCTGCCAGGTGTAGTGAGGCACACCTGTAATCCCAGCACTTGGGAGGCTGAGGCACGAGGATAACTGCAAGTTTGAGGCCAGCCTGAGCTACATAAGGAGACCCTATCCCCTACCCTGCCCCCAGAATTACTTATAGCAAGTTCTTTGTGGCATATCTAAATGCCAGCATCACTACTTTTATTTTATTTACACTTAGTGTGTAAATGTTTTACTTACATTTAGTAAGTACAGTAAGGGTTACTTGAACACAAGTGCTATGATACGTAACGGCCTGATGACCCAGACTGACTCACAGGGGAATAAAGTTATGTTTGGTTTTCATTACTGTGACCAAATACCCAAGACAAACAATTTAAAGGAGGAAAGATTTGTTTTGACTCAACCGTCTTAAAGATTTCAGTCCCTGGTTGGCTGGTTGCTCTTAGGTCTGTGGCAAAGCAGAAGTATCATGGCAGAAGATCCCAACCCAGGAGTGCTGCTCACCACATGGAGGCCAGGGAGCAGAGAGGGAAAGACCTGAGAGGAAGGGGCCAGGGACCAGAATCTTCAGTCCTTATGGCCTACTCCCTGCAACTAGGTCCCAACTCCTGAGTTGGTATCACTGCCATCACCTCGTTTTTTGTTGTTATTGTTTTATTTTGAGAAAGAGTCTCACTATGTAGTTCAGGCTGGCCTTGAACACACCATGTAGCCCAGGCTGGCCTCCAACTCACAGCGATCCTCCTGCCTCAGCCTCTCGAGCGCCAAAATTATACGTGTGTGCCACTGCGCCCAGCTTATCAGCTAATAATGCTGTGAAATTATGATCTTATCACTGGTTTATCCACTTATGGAGTTTAGACCCTCATAATTCAGTCACCTTCTGCAAAGCCCCACCTCTGCACATGGGAGGCTTGGGGGCATTTTAGATCTAAACTGTAACATGTGTATACATTACACAAAGGGATGGTTCAGGTTGTGGATGGGTGGAGATTTCATCTTGTCACTCAGAATGACAGGCAGCTCTAAGCATGAATTGTTTATTTCTGGAATTTTCTATTTAATGTTTTCAGGTGGATGTGGACAGCAAATAATTAAAACTGTGGAAAGTAAAAATCATGAAAAAGTAGGCATTACTGACAACTTTTAATATTTTTGTGGTCCCCTGGGCAGTAATTTTTATATCTATATTTTGATATAATGGATTTATATAATAGTTATTTATTAAATATTATTTATATAATATAATAGTATTTTGGTATTTTGGAATATGGTCAGAAAGAAATATTTGCTCTTTTAGATGCATGGTTTAAATCCATGTGATAGCCTTTTTTTAATTGTTAAAAATAATTTGGATAATCTATCCTACCACTTAAAATAAAGCTAGGATCTTAATAATAACATACATCTAGTGGTTTGCTTGCATCTTTTTAATTAATGTAAACACTAGCTGGTGACTTTTGATATTGTATTGGGTGACATGCAGATACTTTATTAGCATGCAAATACTTCACACTGTTATCAAAGGGCTTTTTTTAGTTCGTTGTTCTGTACGCTTACATTACCTCCTTGCTGCTGCTAAAATAGTTTTCTTCTGTCTGCGTACCTCAAAAATTTCTCTTTAACTTTTTCGTTTCCTCTTTGTCTGAAATTCTCCTTTCTCTGCAGTTAAAATCCTTTCTCTTGACAGCTCATCTCCACAGAGCCTTCTCCCTTACTGTGCCAAATAATCAGCAGCGTAGTCTCCCTCTGAATTTCCAAATCATTTCTTTGATCTTTGTCTTGTGCTACTTTAGATCGTAGTCTTTCTCTTTTCTCCTCTCATTAGTTCATAAGCTTCTAGAAGGGAAGTGTTGAGTTTGAGCTAAGTTTGCTGGTATTATAAGAAGGCACCCAGGTGTGTCCAGTGTGCCCCAACCATCAGCACTGTCCCTCCATAATGTTCCAGGGGTCTATGCACATGTCTGATGTGAGGGACACTGACCAGTGGAAAATAAGGTCATGTGTGATCCCACTGCAGAATGCGGTGGTAAATACAGATTTTTGCCACAAGGGGGACCCCCTCCTTTAAATCCCTACTCTTACCCTGTAATTTTTCCCTTGTGAGAAAAGGAGAGAAGCTGCAACATTGTTTTTGTTTGTTTGTTTGTTTGTTTATTTTCTACTGAGAAGACCATAAATATGGGAGACAAAGCAGAAATTGTACTCAAGTTCAGGGCCTTTTATTGGAAATGACTTCACCTACTAGAAAAGTGGTCAGTTGGTGCCAATTAGGATTTTACTTAATCAGTTTCCCTGTTCATTTTCAGGGAGGAATTAAGAGGAGAATTTGTCATTCCTCGTAGTCGACATAGTTTAGTTCTTTCTTTTGCCCAGTGCTGCCTGCTAACTGAAGGTGACTTACCATGATTGGAAAATGTGACCGTTGTCACATAGGCCTCACCCCTGCCCCGGGAAACTGTGGCCTGTCTGTGCGCCTGTGATTTTTTAAAAGGGAAGGGCAAGCCAGATGTGGCGCTCATGCCTGTAATTCCAACACTTGGGAGGCTGAGGTGGGAGGATTGTTGGGAGTCTGAAACCAGCCTGGGCTACAAAGTGAGCTCAAGGCCAGCCTGAACTGCATAGCGAGACCCCATCTCAAAAAAGACACACAAAAAAAACCACCAACCCAAAAAGAGGAGGGCAACATAAGGGAACTGAGGTTTGAACACATAAATTATGCAGTGTTTTAAAAAGAGGGGGTACAAGTTTTTATTTTCATTTTGGATGCCACATTACAAAAGAAGTATTTTTTAAAAAAAACAAGAATTGAAGGAAAAGAAAAATAATAAAAAGAATGTCTATAAACTGTTCAGTGTGCCATTTGTTTCTGATAAACTTCAGTCACATCTTCCTTTCTTCCCAGTATGATGATCAGTAATTCCCTGATCTTTGCAGGGAAACCTCAACAAATTCATCGGAACTCCCTATCTTTGACGGTATGGTTCTTTGAATTTCTAGAGATGTGTTATTTTCACTTTGAGGTGAATCTCACTGCTATCTTTTTGTTTTTCTTTTTACGGTGTTTTGAGACAGTGTCTTGCTATGTAGTTCAGGCCTTGAACTCACCATGAAGCCCAGGCTGGCCTGAAACTTGCAGCAATCCTCTTGCCTCAGCCTCCCAAGGGCTGGGATCTCACTGCTATCTTGCCCAGTGGTTTCGAGTTTGATGCAGTCGCCTTCCTTCTCAGTCTTAAGTCCTCAGGTGAAAGTGTTACCCCCTGTCAGGATGGTTTCACCTAGGAGCCTCCGCACAGCAGTGTTTTGGGTAGGCAGAACCTCTATCTGGGATTTATAAATCCATTTCCTTTCCCCACAATCATTTTCACTTAATATTGTCTCACTACACATATAAATATAAACAAGATAAATTGCATAGAGGTAGGAATTGGATAGAATATACAGAAATTGTAATTATTGTAGACTTACTTTGTGTGTGTCTGTGAGTCACTAAAACAGAATCCGTTTATTTTGATCATTTATCTGTTATTAAAACTCAAGATCATTCTCCTTTTCCAGTTCCCCGAGATCAAAAAGGACCACTTCTGTTAAGAGATGGGCCTTGAGGGAACATGAGACCAGTAGTGTGTATATGGGAGGGCTCTGGGCCTTGGAGACATACTGGGAGGAATTTGACTTAAGGTTTGTGAAGATAGGGAGGGAAGACAGGAGTAAGAGACAGGGTGGAAGCTGGCTCTCTGGAGTTTCCTGTGGCACTGTGTTGATTGTCTACATCTCCACTGTGCTAGAAAACATACAAGATCTGAGGTACATTCTCAGCCCTTTTTAAGAATTTTTTAGGACCAGTGATATAGCTCAGCCGCACAGTGCTTGCCTACCAAGCGTAAGGTCCTGAGTTTGATTCCTAGTACCAAATAAATATATATAATATATATTTTGAAATATATATATATATATATATATATATATATATATTGTATATATTTTGAGACAGGATCTTCCTAAATTGCTAAATTGCCCTGGCTGGCCTTGAACTCACTCTCAGTGATCCTTCTACCTCAGCCTCCTGAGTACTGGTGTAGGCATGTGCAAACATACCCAGCTGTAGGTACTATTTAGAGACAGCTACTAAGGCTTGTGTTGGTGTATTGGTCAGTCATGTATAAAAGAATTATTTATGAATCCACTGAAATTTCCATGAAATAGAGTGAATGCTTTTGCTTGTGAATATGTGTGAAAAAAGTCTCACATATTTAAAATCAAATTGATTACTTTGGTAACAGGAATTGACATTTTGGTGAACAATGCCAGTGCTATTAGTTTGACCAACACAATGGATACACCTACGAAGAAGGTGGATTTGATGATGAATGTGAACACCAGAGGCACCTACCTTACGTGAGTCATGAAGAAGAGTTGTGGGGGAGAATGGCACAGTGTATTCTTAGAGAACTAACCTGCTTGTAAGCAAATGTGAGTCAAATCAGCAGTACAGTTTAAAGGTCTATTCAGGAAACTCAGCTAACTCAGCTGAAGGTATTTGTGTCTAAGTGAGGTGCTAAAGGTTTTCAATAAAATAGAAAAAGACTTGCTTGTTGCTTTGAAAAACACACTTGATATGAGGGAAGCTGAGGGCCAGACTGGCTTAAGTGCAAATAGGAAGCTTTTGCCTGTACATCCAGGGAAAGCTCATGTTTATATTGTAACTGAAATAAGTTCTTCCCTTGGAGTATAAAATATGGTCTCAGTGTTTGGAACACATTCATTTTATTTCCTGTTGATGCTTTGAGTGTGCAAGTTCACTGTTTTAATAAAAATCAACTGTAGCGTTGCTTGCCCCTCTGCTGTCCACTCTGGTAGAGGTGAGGCATGTTTGGAGATAAAAAAAAATAAGTACAAAAACCTATATTGATTGTATTTTGTTTGTAAGCATGAAAAGATGTTGGAATTGTTAATCTAAATGGTGTACATTTAGAAATAAAACTGACTTGAAGGAGGAAGAGACTAAAGTTCTAGTTGTCCTAGTTGAGAGTGAAATATAGGTATGAAGTGTTTAAGGGATAGTGTGTTATTTTGTTATAAGGTATTATTTAATACTTACAATTTTTAAAAATGTTGGACACAAATCTTTTATAAAATACATTACCAATCTTTATGAGCAGTTTTAAAGAAATAAAATTATATATTGTTCCTAAAGGTGTACTGGATTTTGTATTGGTGAAAATTAAATTTGGGAATGTATGGAGAGTTACGTTACTAAATTGCAGTTCTGGAGTTCTGTGAGTACTGTGTCTAAGGAGGTGAAATAAATCAGCAGATGTGGTACTATGGCAGCAATAGTTGATTTCATGTTTAGTATATGCACTGTCCTAAGTATCTCATCTGTATTGTTCCATGTTAGTCCTTTGGCCAACTCTCGATGGTAGTGGGTATTACCAACATTTATAGTGGAGAAAACTGAGAATAAAAATGTTATAAAATTTGCCCAAGGTCACATGAAGGAGCAGAAGCAAGATTTGAACCCATTTCTGTCTTGAACACTCATGTTCTTTAGCACAGCACTAACCGACTGGTACCTTAACTATTCCTTAAAGTTCTGGGAGTGCGGGGGAGGGAGAATTGGGAACTGTTACAGTTGAGGATGACCTTGGTTGGGCATAATGCTGATCTATCAAGGATTTGATTTTTTACAGTCAGGCCATTGAGTAGAGTTTCAAAGTGTTTACGTTAGTTGCTTTTCCTATCTTCATTCTAAAAAAACAAAAGTCCTGGGCTGGGGATTTAGCTCAGTGGCGTAAGCGCTTGCCTGGAAAGCGCAAGGTCCTGAGTTTGATTTCCGGTACCACAAAAAAAAAAAGGTCCTGTACAAACAAAAGTAAACAATATGTACTCTTGATTACCAGAGGAAGTTTTTTACTCTGGAGGGGTAATTTAAACTATGATTTAGAAATGGGAAGATATTCTTAGAAAGGTATTAACTTGACTTATGTTTGCTTTTACTTTCAGATCTAAAGCATGTGTTCCTTTTTTGAAAAAGAGTAAAATTGCTCATATCCTTAATCTCAGCCCACCACTGAATTTAAATCCAGTGTGGTTCAAACAGCACTGTGGTAGGTAGTAGGATGAGGAGATGCTTTGTCCTTTTAATTTGTTTTGAATTAAATCAGTATATCTTTATATAATCACAGTCTACACACAGTGGACAGTATTGAATTTTCTGTAAGTAAAATTTGGAAATTGAAAACAATCATTTTCTAGTAATTAAAAATTAAGGTATAACTTACTTTCAATATAATGCACAGATGTTAATGGTTCAGTGTAATGAATTTTTATAAATATGTACAATACTTGTGTAACTATTATGCAAATTAAGATAGGGATTTTCATCATTTCAGAAAGCTCTTTAATGTCCTAGTGGGTGGGTTTTATGACATGTAATTTAGTCTTTAATGAAGTTGGTTAAAAATTATCCATGAAATATTTTATTTTTCACTGCAAACTAACGATTTAAGTAAGGCAAATATGGTTAAGTAATAAGATTAATGTATAGGTACTTCCTTTAAAATCTTTGTATCAAATACTTCTTATTTCAGTATAATTCACCAGCCATTTGGAAAGGTGCTCGCAATGGGAACCTACTAAACAACACTGAAAGAAGTTTCAGTGGTACTTGGCCCTTGCATTTGCTAGGCAAGCGCTCTTCAAGAATTGGAGCCCTTTTTTATTCCATTTTTAGACATGTCTCACTAAGTGCCTAGACTGGCTTCAAATTTGCAATCTTTCTACCTCAGCCAGGATTACAAGAACGCACTACCATGCCTGATTTGTTGTTGTGTTGCTGTTTATATATTTACTTCTTTACTTATATATGTGGTACTGGGGATTAAACTTAGGACCTTTGTGCTTACCAAACACATACACTACTAGTGAGCTAAAGATTTTACTGAGCTACAGGATTTTATTTAAAGTAGTTTCTTTAAATAATCAGTTTCATTCTATTTTATTCTGTGGTGTTGGGAATCAGCTTTCATTCTTTAAAATATAAAGAAAAAAACAGATGAGGAAACAATAGTATAATTTATTACCATAGTATTAAGAAAATGAAAGTTTATTACTTTTTCTTTTAATCAAATATCAGATTATGAAAAACTGGCTCATGCCTATCCAATTACTTCCATAAAAACTTCTTAACACTTTTAAAAATTAACATTTTGTGCTTTTTATGTTATTAAAGTGAATTCTCAAAAATATGTCCAGGAGAAGATCATAAAGGAAAGAAGTTGGTTATTTCTATTCACAAATTAATTTGTTTCTCAAATTATTATTCTTTATGGTTTCTTTCAGCTTATACTATTGCCAAGTATGGTATGTCTATGTGTGTGCTAGGAATGGCAGAAGAATTTAAAGGTGAAATTGCAGTCAATGCCTTATGGCCTAAAACAGGTATGTTCTTCTAAAAATCTGATTTATTTGGTTTGCATTTGTTTTCTTTGGCTTCTTCTGTACCAAGGCTGAGGATGCAGTTGAGGGCCTTCACCATGCGAGGCAAGTGCACTTGCCCTGAGCTACACTTCCAGCCCTGTCTTTGATACTCCTAACCGGTCCCTTGAGTGTGGTGTAGGGCAGGCATGAGTAGACTGTCGGCAGTAACTTCAGTCTTTCTGTTGTAAAACACTCAAGATATTTTACCCTGTGGCATAAGAGCCTTGTCAGTCATCTTCCAGCTCTGATTTAAAGAACACAGGTAACACTTGTGCCAGTAACCGTGATAGGAACAGTGAAGCCCTGGAACTTTGCTCTTCTCGTAGGCTAGCAGTTACATAGCACATTCTCTCATGATGCTGGAGGTTGGCAGCGAGCCACAGCTTCCAGCCAGCCATGGAATCAAAGAGTAATGACCAATGCTCCACAGTGTACTGTGTTGTCTGCGCCTTTTGGATATTGTGTTTTGTGGTTTTGCATGTCAGCGTGTTTATAAAATGCCATCTGGGTCTGTACATTTTGTCATAAAATAGGTTTTGTATTAGATGATTTTGCCCAACCAGAGCCTAATGTCTTATTTTCTGAGCACATTTAAAATCGGCTAGGCAAAGCTATGGTGATTGGCAGGTTAAATGTATCAAATGCATTTTGTTTGTTTTCTCATTTTCTTGAGACAGGCTCTCACTGTGTAGTTCCTGCTAGTCTTGAACTCACTATGTGGCCCTACCTGACCTTAAACTTGTGGCAATTCTTGTGTTTCATCCTCCCAAGTGCTGGATTACAGATGTGCACCACCACGCCCATCTCCAGTGCACTTTTGAATAACTGTAATCCATCATCAGTTGAGGAGGATAGGTTCTTGGAAGTTCCTTGGAAGGATTTGGACCTTGGAGATCAGAGGACCTAAGTAGCGTGGCTCAGTAGATAAGATGAGTATGTCTTCTCCCTTAGACAGTGAGGAGAGTAAGGAGATATGTCCCCAAAAGGATTCCATGATGGGAGAGTTGACACATTAAGTGTCCATGGAGCAGAGAGTTGCCTTTACTACTTTGGCAGGGCTGGCATCATCTAAAGTGCTCATGGATGAACAGAACCTTACTCAGTCAAAGAAATACTGCAGGGCATGTAAGAGGACCTATGTAAAATACAGAAAGAATAAAAAATCCTCAGAATTGTAGCCTTCAGTAAAACAAAATTCTCGCTAGGTGTGGTGGCTCATACCTGTAATCCCAGCACTCAGGAGACTGAGGCAGGAGAATTGTTACCAAGTTCAAGGCCAGTTTAAGCTGCATGGTGAGTTCAAGGCCCGCCTGGACTACATAGCAAGACCCTGTTGATTCCCAACTTACTATGTCCTCGAGCTTGTATTCTCTAAAATCAAAGAATGAATTTTAGGAACAACGGAGGGGAAGAGTAGAGCATATTTGTTGAGAGAAAGCTTCTGTTTGAAGAGAGACAAAAGGGGGTCCCGAGCGGGTTGCCCAAGAGTCTGTCTTTTCCAGGGACTTTTATAGAATAAAACCATGGGTTCAAGGTGGGGGAAGACTGGGAACTCACAAGGCAGATGGGCATAAGGTGGGATATAACTATAGTTAGCCAATAAGATTAATAGTTTAGGTAAAATTGATTAAGTTGGGGACAAATGGGAAATCAAGTCATGTAGGAAGTGGGCATTCTTAGAGATCAGTGACCCCTCCTATAGGAGACTGGGATGGTAACTCTTGGCTTCTCACGGTGATCCAGATTTAATCCCTAAGGTTTATACTTAAGAATGTGTTTGCATTTGTTTTGCCTTCTGTTTTGAGATGTGGCCCACAGCAAGAGGTCTGTGTCCCCTCCAAGGTCATCAGATACCTGGTCCTCTGTGGCTGCTCCCTCAAGGGCCTAGCCATGTCTGTCTATAATATTTCTAACTGGCTCAGCTGCCTGTAACACTGTCTCAAAAGAACAAAAACTAAACAAACAAAAGTAAAATAAAACTGGAAAGAAACAGAAAACACCTTTTTTCAAGCCAATAATTACATAAGAGATTGAATTATAATATGAAAAATGCTTTTTGGAACTAAAACTAGATTTAAAAAATAAATGTGTGGAGTTGAAGGACTGATTGTTTATTATTAATGCCTGAATAAACAGCTGGGAAATTCAAGTGTAAGAAATATCTCAAGAGCAGAAGCTTGCTGAAGAAAAAGGAGAGACTTAGAGGACATGTCCAGGAAAATTTGCATGCAAATTTCAGGAACCCCAGGAAGAAGACTGGAAAAACAGCATGATGCAGAAGGAATAATGATAGAAAATTAAAATTGAAAACAGTTTCCTTGGACTGAAAAGGGAATTGAAAGATTTACAAAATTTGAGGCTAAATTTATGGGGAGGGGTGAGAATCTCAGAATTTCAAGGATGAAAAGAAAAGCTGCCAAGCAGGATATCTCTTACAAAACCAGCTGTTCAAGCAGGATATCTCTTACAAAAAAAAGGACCAGCACTTTTATCTCCAGGGCCAGGAACTGGAAGCAGGGAATAACATCACTGTATTACTGATTGGAAGCAACTCTGCCAAGATAATGTTTACTGAAGGAAGACAGAAGGGTACGCTATCTCACTTGATTAGTGATATACCCTATCAGAACAGTCATTTCAAAATAGGGCTTAGAGATGAAGAGGAGAGGACATAGTGATATGTGGAATAACCTTGCAAAAGGTATGCTTGCATGTAAATGAATTATGCTAGTATAACTGAGAACATGAAGCATAGATACTGTCTTAGGGTTTGCAAGGAAAACAGTTTAATAAGGACACATAATTTTTTTTTTCTGGCATAGTGGGAATCGAACTCACGACCTCACACTTGCCAGGCAGGCAATTGTGCCACTGAGCTAAATCCCCGGCCCTAAGGACACATAATTTATAGAATTATTTTATAATAGTCACCCAAAGAGTCAAGTACAAAAAAGTGTAGGAAATCTGTCTATATACTAAAGACCTAGAGATTCCAGCCGAGGGCCTGGATCCCATGGGAATATCCTGCATGAGTTCAGCTGAAGATCTAGAGTCCAACTGGAGGCCCAGAGCCCAGGCCCAGAGACATGTAAGTCTGTTTCACGGATCTGCACTGGGAAGGCCCCAAATTCAGCAGTGGAAGCTAGAAAGTCTCTGCCAGTGGGATGAAGGATCTGTACCAGTAGGCAGAGGGGGTTCTGCACTGAAGCACCAGGAAGTGACACTCAAAATATGGACCAGAGCTCCCCTGTAAAGTACCACAGCCATCCTCAGCGTCAAGAAGGTCCTGAGCTCCTCCGATGATAACAGCTGAGTTCATATCAGGAAGCAAGCGTGACAAGTATTTCCTGGAGATTGAGCATCATACATCTTCCCCTCTGGAACCAGGAAGCAATGTTCAACGTAAGGACCAGAGCTCCCCTAAAGTGAACCACAAGCCATTCTCAGTGACATCATGACCCAGGCTTTTCTGAGGAGAGAACAGCCCAGTTCACATCAGGAAAGAAGCTCTATCAGCTTCTTCAGGAGAACCAGTGACAACAGGAGAATAACACTTCTTCCTCTCCAGTTCTCCTTTTTGTGTTGGCAACAGTCCTCAGGTGGGCCCTTCACATCCAGCACCACAATGATCAGTCCAGCTGGGTGTTACAAGTTGCCCACCAGTTGTCAGTCCACCACAGATTCCAAGTAAGAACCCCTCAGTGGTACTGGGGATTGAACTCAGGGCCTTCGGACTGGGCTACATCCTCACCTCTTTTTTATTTTTATTTTTGTTTTGAAGCAGAATCTTACAAAGTAACTTAAGTTGTTAAATTACCCAGAGTGGACTTGAATTTTTGATCCTTCTACCTCAGCCTCTCAGAGCTCCGGGACTGTAACCATACAAACCATATCCAGCATAAACTCTTGACACAGAAAAGATAAAGAGAAAGCTTTACTATTAATCTCTAGCCAAACACAATAAACCCTTTTTATATAATCTTGAAACTGGGGAGAAAGAGATGAGAAGTCACTGAATTTTTAAGGGCTAGTATGGGCAATTGAACAGTCTCACCTTGGAGCAGCCACCATGCTCATTGGTAAAAATATTACATTTCTGTTTGGGTTTGGTTATAGAAATGCTTTTGGGTTTTAAAATAATATACAACTACTTTTATAAACCTTTTAATTGATGTAATAGTTTATCTGTAGATCCTTTTGGGTTTTCTGTATAGGTAGTTATATCATCTATGCTGGTATTTCTGTCTTTCTGAAACGTCCACCCTTGGTTTCTTTTTTTCCTTGCTTTAATGTGCTGTCTCTTTCATCTCTTCTGTTCTACCTTCCAGCAGTAGATTTCCCCAGAGTTTTTGAGAGTCCAGGAAGGCTTTAAAAAATGTTTCTTGTTTATTTATAGTTTGGCTGTAATAATGTATCCCTTTAGGGGTACCTAATTCATTGTATTTTTAAAAGCAGAAGAGTGATCCTGTGTATTTGTTATTTTTTTAATTTTATTTAAAGAAAGATTAAACAAAACAGAAAAGGGTAGAAATAATACATACTTTCAAAGAAAAAATAAACAGTAAGAAATCACTAGTTGATGATTACATATTGTCCTCTTACAAATAGTTGCTCAGGTTATAAAAGTGAAGCGTACAAAGTGGGGATTCAAACAGCGAGACTGCAAACAGTTCTGTTCAACTATCCAACAAAAACTTAGTAATATGGTTATCAATCCTATACACTTAAACATACATGCAGTTATCCATATCTTCATTTATGTTAAGATTAAACAAACAAAAGCAGGCTAAAATCACTCTGAACAAAGAATAATAGTATTGCTGGATTTCACATCATGACACTGCGGGATCAGCACTGAGTACTGTAGTGTCTCTTTTTCTTCAAAGTAGTTATTCATTGCATCAAGCGTTATAAGATCAGTTCTCATAAACTGTTTATAGTTCTACACATGCATGAGTCTC